ATAATGTCATNTTTTTTGTCATTTTGGCATTTTTCTGCCATTTTAGGGCTATTTTGATAAAAACCCATATGGCACAATGAAATAAAAGTGATTTTTTGGGGACGCTGCCTCTCGAAAACAAGCCCAATTTCTTTTCATGATTTTTACCCTTATATTCTCTAGATTTTGTTTTACAATTTTTATCCAAATTGCTACGGCGAAAATAGTGATTCTCAAATATGAGAGATCCTCCTTTATTATTGACAGCATTATTCCCAACATAAAAAACTAGCTTGATCTTTAATTAATTGCAGTAAACATAAAATCCTTGGCAGCATGCAAGATTTAAGTTCAACATCTATTTTAAATATAAAAAAATAAAATACTATGTGACTGTAAGCATTACTGCTGTTAAAAAATCACATTTACTCCTTCCCCCGTCACAAAATTTTTGAAAAACCCGCCGATATTGGAGTTAGGGAGCCCCGATGTTGAGATATTTATACCCTTTAAATTTAAAAAACACAATTATCATGAAAAATTGTTACAAAAATCTTAAGCATTTCGACAGCGTTTAGTTTTGCGTTGCATTGGTATATGAACGCCAACATTTTATGTTAACTTTGGTTAGTTTTTATCAATCAGGAGCAGCGTAAGCAGTTGGAGTCGGAAAACATAACGATACGTACCCATTCTTAGCTAGTCTTTACAGTCTTTACAGGTCGAGGTCAGGGTTGAGTTTTTCCATATTCAACTTCCGCTTTACAGCTCTGGCTTTACAGTTTTAGTTACCACGTCTCCATGGAACCGAAGCAAAACCGGCAAAACCGAAACACAAAATCCGAGAATAGAGATACTGAACCCGATAAATGAGACACAAAACCAGAAACATGAGACAAAAATATGAAAACTGCAAACGTTTTTTTTTTATTTTTTATTTATTTATTTATTTATTTATTTATTTTTATTATTATTATTATTATTATTATTATTATTNGTAAAACAAATACAACACTTCCAACACCTGTTGCTTTTGCCTTCTAACTGAATCCTAGAATTCGAATGCTCTGATCCAACAGGTATAAAATAATCAGCTCTAGTACAGTTTCTACTAAAATGAAATTGGTCAACAAAAACCAATGACATAAGTGTTCTTTCATTTGACCAGATTAACAGAAGGGAAACAAGTAGCTCTGGTTTTAGAGTTTCACCTGTTCCGCTGACCAATATATCTGTCAACTGGTTAGCTAACAAATGTCACAGTATCTGTGTATGCTGTAACCAAACGATCCCTCTCAGGTATGCAACAACCAGCAACTTTCTCTCTCTGAACAGTTTTACCACCTGTGTTGCCACCAAACTACTTTCCCAACTGGAAGCATCTTATGGGTCTCTCCCTCTTTTAAGTAATTCGGCGTGCTGTCACAGAACACAGTCCCTTAACTAAGCATTGTGCTAACTGGTCGTAATCACTGGCTGATTTATAACAGACTGTCACCACCACTTACATCAGTGTCCCTGCAGTAAAGGTCTGCTCTCTCAGTGCTCCCATAAAAAAAACTCCCTCCAATCACTCTGTCACACACCAGAACTCTGTAAATCAGAATCCCTACATCACGTGACTTGTGAGTAAAAGAACTCAAACTCAAACCCAAGCAGGAGCATGTTTTTTTTTTTTTTTTTTTTTTTGAGGACGTCAGCCTGATTTACAATCAATCAATCTTTCAGGTATGTAAATATGGAATCATTGTAAATTATATTTTACACACCACACTCGATTGAAAATATTGAGGCGTTACCACATGACAGATGCGATAAATTGATATGATAATTATCCAGCACTTTTATTACTTTAAGAACCATTCTCATCCTATATTTACCATCAAAATAGCAACTAAAGAGATTTTACAATACCTAAGGACATCGAAATATATTACCTTGAAGGTCTCCTGAGCGAGAATAGGGTTAAGATGGTACTAGTAATAAAAAAGAAAGCGATCTTCCTCGCCGCCACCACCGCCTGCATATTAACGCTGTTGGCGCTGCCCTATTTTACGGGTAACTATTATATTTCACTCTTATATTTTGTAAAATATTACAAAATTTAAATTTACAAAAATATTCATCCTTGCGACACAAATAGGGCTGGTTCATGCAGTTATAAAAATTCTAGAATACAGAAAAATTAGAAATACATGTATTTGAAAAGTATTGGTTCTTAGCAATAATCACTTTATTAAACATCAAATTTCACAAAAATAAACGTAAATGTTTTGACATAACTTTTCACCATAAGCTTTAGGTGGGCTTTAGGTGTGATTCGTAACCGTCGAAGCATGTAGCAATGATTATGTTCCCTTATACTTTTCATTAGCATTATAAGATATCGATGGAAGATTTTTGACGAAAATTGCGTTTACTGTGGTATTTATAAAGACACCAAGAAGACAAAGATTTTATGGGTACGAATCTTGCAGGAATGTACAAACCCATGATAATTGATCGAGAAAATAGCAGTGGAACTTCACTCCGAACCACTAACAACTTGCCCAAACTCAGTAAAGAACACGACGCCATAGATAAACTGATCTGGGAGGTTTTTAGTTTTACGTACAAAGGAATACTATATACAGTTATATTCCTATGGCAGCATGAACAACAGAATGCGCTTAGCAATTTATCTGAAGGTCTTAGTGGTGCGACACCCAGTAGATAGACTCGTGTCGGTGTACAAGGAACAAGTTTTGTTCAAGCATTTAGGTCCCACAGTGAAAACTTATATAAACCAGCAACATAAGAGGAACATTACTTTGCAAAAAACATCCTTTTCGGACTTCTTGTAGTATATAGCAAACAATTGAGCAAACAATGCCCACTGGGCTTTGGTCGAGGATTTTTGCAAACCTTGTGACCTTCAGTATGAAGTCATCTTCATTATGAAGATCTTACGACCAACGCGCATAATGTCATGAGTCTTCTTTTCGCCGAACACTTGATACCACAATTCCCGTCATGTCTTCGCGAGATTGAGGTCTACCACAATAAGACTCTCATACAAACATACTACAGCGGTCTGGGGTATTTATAAAGAAGAGGCAAGCTTCCTCGAATATAAATTAGATCTTCGAATAATGTCGTAATACGGCACATACATGCTGAATTTAGATTAGAATCATGATCGAAAGGCAACAATATTACATTGCAAGAAAGTTTATGGGAGTGGTATCAGAATTCCAAATTAAAAACGGGTTATTTGTACATTGAACCAAGCAATAAAAATATGGTAAACTCAGCTAGATGCACATTAAACATTACGTGACGCTATAACATAAAAATGATATGTATTATATGTAATTTTTTACTTGCTTAAACCGCCCTACCTTCAAAATCTGATATTACAAATGCGGCAAAAGTTATGTGTCCTTCAGTGGGGTCCTACATGTTTACAACTACACGACTAAAAGACGATCGCCAAACCTACGAAAATGCATCTATTCCGTCCTTACTAATCACGAAAAGTATATAAAAAGAGTATGGACATGGCCAAATTATATAAAATTGAGGCGTTACCACATGACAGATGCGGTAAATTGACATGGAAATAAGCTCGCACCTTTTACTAGTTAAGGTACCATTCTCATCTTTTATTTACCATGAAATATCAACTAAAGAGAATTTACAACTGCATGGGCTGTCATTCCATATGCGAAACACATCGACATACACTACCTCGAATATATCTCCTGAGCGAGAATAGCGTTAGAAGTGTACTAGTAATGAAAAAGAAAGCGATCTTCCTCACCACCACGACAGCCTGTGTATTAACGCTGTGGTCGCTGGGCTATTTTACAGGTAACTATTATCTTTAAGTCATATTTTTTGTAAAAAAGTTTAAATTAAAATCTATAAAAACAACCAACTTTGCAACATATACAGGACTGGTTTGTGCAACTATAAAAGTTCTAGAAATAAATATCAGATATATTAGAAATGCATGTGTTTGAAAAGTGTTGGTTTTTAGCAATAATCAAATTATTAAAAATCTAATTTCACGAAGTTAAACGCAAATGTTTTGACATAACTTTTCACCATAAACAAGGACATCTTATCAGGCAAAGGACGATTGTATTCCTAGTTATTTTATCTAGAATTTTTTTCCTTTTGTGCATTGGTGTGATTCGCAGCTTTTGAAGCATGTAGCAAAGACCTTATTCCCTGAAACTTTTTATCGGCATTTTAAGATATTGACGGAAAATTTTTGACGAAAATTAAGTTTACAGTGGCAGTTATGAAGACACCAAGACGACAAAGATTTAATGGGTACGAATCTTGCAGGAATTTACAAACCCATGCCAATTGGTCGAGAAAAGGGAGCAATAAATGGCAGAGGCGCTTCTCTTCGAACCACTAATAACTTGCCCAAACTCAGTAAAGAACACGACGCCATAGATAAAAGGATCTGGGAGGTATTTAGTTTAACATTTTTTGTGCAGTCATTGTTTACCTTACCAAGATACTGACTTACAAGTACTATAGTTCTTAAGTGAGGTAGAAATCACAAGACCTTTCTGTTCTTTCATATTATTTATTTACTGATTTCCAATTGCCTTCTCTCTTTTTCTCGCTGTCTACTCCATTCAATCTTCCGCGGCGATCTCAGGGTTGAAATTGCAAGGCAAATTACAATTTTGTCTTGTTCAATATTCACAGCTTTTTTGCTGACGTTACTCATGTTGACCTTATCTTTTTATTGACCTTTTTTGTCCCTATTTTTTACTGGTGTTATATTTTTGTTGACCCATTTTGCATAAAACGTTTAAAAACGTTAAGAGAACTTTTTGAAACACATCTTTCAGTCATTCGGTTGGCACAAGGTACCTCAGAATTGGGTATCTTCCGTAATCAGGCGAAAACAAAGGTTACAAGACAGATGCAGCGCCCGCAAAACTGCTCCGTTCAACTATTTGAAGAAATTGAACTGGATTTTAGTGGATGACAAATATAAACTAATATTGTGCACTATGTTCAAAGCGGCAAGTCGTAATTGGAGAAATGTGTATCAGATTCTTTCCGGTCGTCAGGATCCTTCAACTGTTGTCTTCAAGGGCACAAAGGAATATTATATACAGTTATATTCCTATGGCAGCATGAACAACAGCATGCGCTTAGCAAATTATCTGAAGGTGTTAGTGGTGAGACACCCACTAGAGAGACTCGTGTCGGCGTACAAGGAACAAGTTTTGTTTCGGCATTTAGGTCCCAGAGTGAAAACTTATATGAACCAGCAATATAAGAGGAACATTACTTTGCAAAAACATATTTCCTTTTCGGATTTCCTGCAGTATATAGCGGACAATGGACCAAACAATGCCCACTGGGCTTTGGTCGAGGATTTTTGCAAACCCTGTGACGTTCAGTATGATGTCATCGTTCATCATGAAGATCTTTCGACCGACGCGCCTAATGTCATGCGTCTACTTGGCGCCGAACACTTGATAGCACAATTCCCGTCATCTCATCGCGAGATCGAGGTCTACCACAACGAGACTCTCATACAAAAATACTACAGCGGGATAGATAGAAAACTGCTTCAAAAGGTCTGGGGTATTTACAAAGAAGAGGCAAGCTTCCTCGGATATGAATTAGATCTTTGAGTGTTGTCTTTATACGGCACATAGAATCATGACCTAAAGGCGACAATATTACAGACATTGCAAGAACGCTACTGGGGGTGGTATCAGAGTTTCAAATTAAAAACGGGCTATTTGTATATTGCACCAAGCAATAAAAATTTGGTAAACTCAGCTAGATGCACATTAAACATTCCGTGACGCTATAACATTAAAATGATATGTATTTTATGTAAATTTTTTATTTTACTTGCTTAAACCGCCCTACTTTCAAAATCTGATTTTACAAATGCGGCAAAAGTCAGGTGGCTTTTAGTGAGATCCTACATGTTTATGCCCCTATTACACAGACCACGGATCCCACGAATCGCCATGAATTGACAAATTTCAGGATTCGTGGTTGAATCGTTATCAGTTCGTGAAGTACTTAACAGAAAATTGGCAAAATCTCATGATTCCAGTCGAATCCCACGAATATTCGTAACACTATCGCACCTGTATCGTAACTGAATCGTAGAATCCTGAAAATTGTCAATTCCTGGCGATTCGTGGGATTCGTGGTCTGTGTGAAATAAGGGGCCTTACAGACCACGAATCCCACGCAGTGCGCGCCATGCTACGACTGTTACGAACTCCGACGAATAGTTCACTAACAGCTCACGTATATTGCTTGCCCAAGTCGGCACGACACCATCCGAATTGCGCAAACTCGTCGTGCCAATGCGGAAGTGCGTAATCTATGTGCAAACTATGCGTGAACTTGTCATGCCAGTTCGTGTCAATGTGGACACGCATTCGTAAACTATTCGTTAACTCGTCGTGAACTCGTCGTGAACTATGCGTGAACTAGTAGGGAACAGTGCGAGAGCCTCCCACTTCGTGTCCCAAAATGGCACGACTTGCCACGACAAAATCGGGGCCAAAAGTCGTGCAAGTGTCAGCCTTGCATAAGAAATAGGGGCATTACAACTGCACGACTAAAAGACGATCGCGAATGCCACACCTATGAAAATTAATCTATTCCGTCCTTACTAATCAGGTAAAGTATATACATAGAGTATAGACACCACCAAATTACATGATACTGTGGCGTTACCACATGACAGATCCGATAAATTGACATGGAAATTAGCCCACACCTTTTACTAGTTAAGGTACTATTCTCATTCTTTATTTAACATGAAATAGCAACTCAAGAGAATTTACAACTGCATGGGCTGTCATTCCATGTGCGAAACACATCGACATACATTACCTGAAATATCTCCTGAGTGAGAATAGCGTTGGAAGTGTACTAGTTATGAAAAAGAAAGCGATCTTCCTCACCACCACGACAGCCTGTGTATTAACGCTGTTGTCGCTGGGCTATTTTACAGGTAACTTTAATATTTAACGCTTATTTATTGTAAAAAAAAATAATTTAAAAAGATAACCCTTCTTGCGATGTAAACAGGGCTGTTTCATGGAATTATAAAAATACTGGAATACAGAAATATTAGAAATGCATGTGTTTGAAAAATGTTTGATTTTAGCAATTATCAAGTTATTAAACATCAAATTTCAGGAAGTTAAACGTAAGTGTTTTGACATAACTTTTCACCATGAGCTAGGCCAACTTATCAGGCAATCGACAAGTGTATTCCAAGTAATTATAGCAGAGTTTTTTTTTTCTTTTGAGCTTTAGTGTGATTGGTAACCTACGAAGCATGTAGCAACGACCTTATTCCCTTATTCTTTTCATCAGCATTTTAATCTTTTGACGGAAAAATTTTGTCGAAAATTAAGTTTATAGTGGCATTTATAAAGTCACCAAGACGACAAAGCTTTTATGAGATGGGACTCTTGCAGGAATTTTTAAACCCATGCCAATTGATAGTATTTAAACACAATGACGGAGGTTTTTTTTTTTTTTTTTTTTTGACGAAAATTGAGTTAGCAGTGGCACTTAAATAGACACTAAGAAGACAAATCTTTTATGAGATACGTATCTTGCAGGAATTAACAAACCCATGTTAATTAATCGAAAAAAGGAAGTAAAAAATGGCAGTGGCACTTCTCTCCGAACGATTGACAACTTGCCCAAACTCAGTAAAGAACACGACGCCATAGATAAACGGATCTGGGAGGTATTTAGTTTAACGTTTATTGTGCATTCATTGTTTACTTTACCATGATACTGACTTACAAGTACTATAGTTCTTATAGAAACCACAAGACCTTTCTGTTCGTTCATATTATTGTACCACCATCGCGTACTACCGCTTCTCCTCCTACACTACAAGAGCCCCTGTATCCATCTCGTGTACGTCAATATAATCTCAACTTGATCCATGTGAGTTTTGGGCTTTGTCGGTATTTGGGTCTAGGTGTGGCGCTCGCCGCAATGCACCTTTATCCAAAATTGGCAAAATTAAATACTAAATATCTACCAAACCGAAGGAATAAAGGGAAAAATTTCTGTAGATGGCTGACCGAAAGTCATATGTGAAGACTTAAGATATGCCACTGAATTTGGCCTTTGACCTTTATTTCAAGGTGAAATGTGCCAATATTTTCTAAAAAAATAAAATGGGAATTTTTTGAAAGAAAAAATTATTTGTGCCGATTTTCAGAAACTACACAGACCTTACCTATAATATTATTGGCAGGTGTTACCCTTAGGGTCATCTTTCATCTCCGTGAGTCAATCAGTGCATTTTGACGGGAGGAGCGACCCTAAGATGACGAAACTGAAAATTCTCTCTGATTCTGGAACCGTTAATGCTAGAGACCTCTTGTTTTTTGCATTTGATAGAGCATGTCAAGCCCAATACCGGAAGTGGTTTTGTTTTCCACGCCGTTTACGAGATATGCTGTATGAAAAAGTACATTGTGGTGGTGAAAGTAAAATGTGCAATACGGTAATACACATGAAATTTCACACGTATGGAAAAGATAACATAAGGCTTGGCGAGGTAGACAACTTCCGGTCAAAAATGACATTATTTTATGAACTTTGAACATCTTGAATTTCTGAGCACCTCCCCTTTCAAGAATTTCAACCAAAATGACCTTTTCTTTATTTCAATTAATTTCTTCTGTACGAAATTTATGGCACATTACTGTAACTCCAAAATTGCAACATTTAAATCCCTTATATCTCCCAAACTGGCAGAGATAGGTCGATAGTTACTACTGAAGTTGAATATATATATATATATATATATATATATATATATATATATATATATATATATATATATCGGCCATTTAACTGTGACCTTAAAATTGACCTTTGGCCTACTTTTCACCATGAACTGAACTTTGCAACATATTAGTCCTTTATATCTCCAAAACTGGCAGAGAAATTGACCTTTGATCTACTTTTCAACATGTGATGCAACTTTTCTGTCCCTTATATCTCCAAAAATGGCAGAGACAGAGTCAAAGTTAATATTGAACTTGAAAAGGAAGTCATATACTTGCGAATTAACTGTGACCTTAAAATTGACCTTTGGCCTACTTTACAACATGAACTAACTTTTGCAGCTTTTTTATCCCTTATATCTCCAAAACTGGCAGAGATACGCCCATATTATTATTGAACTTGAATAGGAAGATACATGTATATACTGGCAATCTAAATGTGACCTTGAAATTGACCTTTGAGCTTATTTTCACTATGAACTGAACATCACATTCACAAATTTGGAATTGACCTTTTACGTTTCCCCATGATTTTGTTATAAATTGTAGTTTTCAACAAAAAAATTCGAGAACTCTTGTTAACTTCATTTTGTAGAGTTTGTCAAGTACAACACTGGGGGTGGTGTCCCCTTTTTTTGTTTTCTCGTGAATTCGCTTGACCCAGCTGGTGGTACAATACTTGGAGGCAGTATCGCCTCTCTGAACCTCTAGTATATTTACTGCTTTCCAGTTGCCTTCTCTCTTTTTCTACTGCATTCAATCCCCCGCGGCATTCTCAGGGTTGAAATTGCCAAGCAATTTTGATTTGTTCAATACTTACAGCTTTTTGCTGACGTTACTTATATTGACTACATCTTTCTGTTGATCTTGTCTTTTTGTTGTCCTTATTTTTTTATTGGCGTTATATTTTTGCACAAAACGTTTAAAACGTTAAGAGAACTTTTTGAACACACATTTTCAGTCATTCGGTTGGGACAAGGTACCTCAGAATTGGGTATCTTCTATAATCAGGCGAAAACAAAGGTTACAAGACCGATGCAGCGCCCGCAAAACTGCTCCGTTCAACTATTTAAAGAGACCAAGATGGATTATAGTGGAGGATAAATATAAACTGATATTGTGCACTATGTTCAAAGCCGCAAGTCGTAATTGGAGAAATGTGTATCAGATTCTGTCTGGCCGTCAGGATGTTGTCTTCAAGGGCACAAAGAAATACTTTAAACGGTTATATTCTAATGACAGCAAGAACAACAGCATGCGCTTAGCAAATTATCTGAAGGTCTTAGTGGTGCGACACCCACTAGAGAGACTCGTGTCGGCGTACAAGGAGCAAGTTTTGTTTAGGCATATAGGTCCCAGAGTGAAAACTTATATGAACCAGCAATATAAGAGGAACATTACTTTGCAAAAACATATTTCCTTTTCGGATTTCCTGCAGTATATAGCAGACAACGGACCAAACAATACCCACTGGGCTTTGGTCGAGGATTTTTGCAAACCCTGTGACGTTCAGTATGACGTCATCGTTCATCATGAAGATCTTACGATCGACGCGCCTAATGTCATGCGTCTACTTGGCGCCGAACACTTGATAGCACAATTCCCGTCATCTCACCGCGAGATTGAGTTCTACCACAACCAAACTCTAATAGATAAGTACTATAGCGAGATAGATAGAAAACTACTGAAAAAGGTCTGGGATATTTACAAAGAAGAGGCAAGCTTCCTCGGATATATCTTTGAACGTATATCATAATGCGGCACATACATGCTGAATTTAGATTAGAATCATGATCGAAAGGCGACAATATTAAAGACATTGCAAAACAAAGTTATTG